TCTAATATCGTGGAGACCTTCATGGACCCTCCTATGCGTTGCGGCAGATGACAGCAGCGAGACTACAGGCCGAGTCGGTGCGATGGGTCCGACAGTGGAGGTGTATGCTGACAGCGGAACCGGTGAGAGTGTGGATCTTTCACTCTCGTATCTGCATTTGTGTCTGCGACTACACGTGCCATTGATGGTAATCATCACCAAAATGGACCTGGCAACCAAGGCCGGGTTGCGACTGGTGCTTGCAAGAATTCTCTCCGCTCTCAAGGCGGTTGGTAGGAAACCTGTCATGCTCAGTAATGTGCCGGGCCCACCCTCTCCTTCGGAACATGGGGCTGCTCTCTCAGAACTCCAGGTCATCAACGAAAGAGATCAAGCTGAAGTTGACCGACTTGTTGGATCGATGCAGAGTGACACTGAACAGGACATTGTCCCGATTTTAATGACATCCGCTGTCACAGGGCTCGGCATAAGTAAACTGCACGCACTGTTCCGAACTGCACCCGTTACTTGTAAGCCTAGGCTTTGGCAATCTCCGCGGCGTGGATCTGTAACGAGTTCGCTTTTTCACGTCGATGAGGTCTTCAGCATTCCTCCATCGCGCGTGTATACATTGGATACGGAAAGCCAAATCGCAAAACAAGGCATTGTGCTTTGTGGATATGTCTCTCATGGCCTGCTGTCCGTTGGGGACACGATGCTACTGGGGCCATTTAACCCGGACTCAGACGGCATATTGACCCCGACCTCTCAGTCCGTTGTGAGAGCAAGTTCCTATGCTGCTGTTGAGTCGTCATACACAGAGAGATCATCAAACACCCTCGCGCGGTCTTACCAAGGGGAGACTCCGAAGAACTCGAGTCGAGGGTATCAGCCTGCGGCGGCATTTCTCAGAGTGCGCATCGTATCCCTACGGACTCTACGCCTTCCAGTGATGCGGTTGCAGAACGAAGAAACAGGTACCATTGGTGTCGAACCTCTTGACAGCGAACAGGACACCATCGCATTGGGCAGGGCTCGCAAGGGTATGGTGCTTGTCGACGTCGACCAAAATCTCCCTGGGTATCATTCATTTTCTGCGAGATTTCCGGCCTCGGACTTCGCACAGGCCAGTTCACCGGTTTTGATACTAGGAGGTCATGCAATTGTGTACATCAATAGTGTGCGCGCTGCAGTCAAAGTGACGGCGGTGGCACTTGACGAGGACGAGCAGTGTAGAGGATACGTGCCCGCAGCATCTCCTCGGGAAGACGCGGAACTTTTCCGCTTTGACGACATTGATGATGAGGCTGAGGTGTTCGGAGAGGAGGAACAACATGACGGTCATAGCGGGTCCACAAAAGAGCGAAGGGAAATTAGGGTGTCTTTTCGGTTTGGCAGTACAATTGAGTGGATGGAAGTGGGCGATCAGGTATTTGTCGTCCCTACTTTGACAACGACGGGGCCAGCGACTGGTCCAGCACCTGGCGTCAACATGGTTGGCCTGGCTGGATTTGTCGGGAGAGTTTGTGAGGTATTTGGTTGATTGTAGGCGCATTTGTCTTTGGGGACGGGCAATAAAGAATTCTCTCGGGGAGGAAAGGAAAGCGGGTGGTTGCCGAGATACCGACCAGATATGCTATATTTTTGTTTGAACAATTTGTCACTTAGCCGCCTCTCATCCGCGACGTGCGTTGTCCACCACGCGCTCCAAGCCTAGCCCCTGCTTGTCCTATTTCAAAGTCTCGCTTGCAGCGTTGTCACAGGAGATCCGGCCCCCGCCGCTGACCCGAGAAATATCCTTCTGTCCATCTCAATCTCCCCGGCCAGATCGCGTGGACGACCCTCATTCTGTATCTTTATCCCGTCGGCAGGCAAGGCGATCATGCTCACCCAGCGCCTGGCGACCTCGGTGGCGATCTCGTCGCCGTCCACGGTGGCATCGAACATGAGCAGACAGGCACAGGCGACGGCCTCGATGTGCTCCAGAATGGCCCTGCCGCACCGTTGCAGGGCAGGGAGGTCGCTCGAGCGGACCAGATCGCGCAGGACGTGGTAGCGGTTAGCGGTGATCTCGCGTTCCCTAGTGAAGACAACACCTCCTCTTCGTTCTCCTTGGCCATTGCTTGCCTTTTCGATGGCACTCAGCACGGTCCGCACCCAGTCTCCGAAGGACTCGTCGAGGATGTCCACCCGGCCGGTACGACTATTCTGAGTCTTGGGATTCTTGACCACCCTTAACACGTCCTCTGCCATGACGCTCGTCGTGCCCTCCCAGATCGTGCCTACCACGCTGTCCCGGAACAGGCGGGCAATGTTCATCACCCCGCCATCCTCGTTGTTCTCGCAGTAACCCACGCCGCCGAGTGATTCCATACAAGCTCTCAATCCGGAGACGCTATTCAGGGTGACCTGTGCTTTCATCACGGGCGTGAGCAGGCGGAGGAGCATCTCTTGTTTTCCCCTTGAGCGGGGGATGAGGACCGATGCTCCGCGGGTGCCTTGAGTGACAACATCGTGGTCTTGTTCAGTTGCCCCCAAGAGCGCAGCGCCAAGGAAGACCAAGTGTGTGTTGGCGCGATACTTGACACTTTCCGCGGCCATCCAGGCCAGATGCTGCGGGTTGTCCCTCAGAAGTTGTCCGTCTTTCACTTTTCGGACGAGCGTGTATGCGCGACTTACTGCCAATCCCCTCGCCAAGTAACCCGCACCAGAACTCGCGGTTTGTACTCGCGTGATGTTCAATATGGCGCTAATTTCCTTGATTCCTTGGCCCTCCTGGCCGACGAGGAAAGCGCGCATGCCTTTGAGTTCGAGCTCGGCGGTTGGGACTCCCTTTGTGCCAAGTTTGTTTTTGAGGCGTTGGATACGGATGCCGTTTGTTTTGGTGGTGTGGGAGGCTGCATCCGCAGCGGAAGTCGGGACATGGCCTGTTCTTCGCCGAAGAGGAGCATAGAATGCACTGAGCCCCTTGCTTGTCTGCGCAAGCAGAACAGCCATGTCGGCATCGGTAGCGGAAGAGAACCATTTGAACCCATCCACGATCCAAGGTCCCAGAGGGAGACCGTGTGCATCTTTATCTCGCCCGTGGTTGACATCAGTTTGCATTTCTTGAGTGGTCATTCGGCGCGCAACAGTCTCAGTGCCTCGCACGTCACTTCCCCCACTTCGTTCGGTCATCCATTGTCCACTGGTCCAGGAGTATGTCGGGTCCAAAGACACAAGACGACGATAGCTTTCACGGAACACGGCTCCGCGACCAGGCTGGTCTCCATCTGGGTCATCGAAATGTCGACGTAATAGTACAGCTGCCCCGTCAGTCATGCCCATTGGGCAAGTGGTTACTGCGCAAGTACCGTGCCAAAGGTGCAGGGTGCCAAACTGATGGATTCGTCGATTGAAGTCTTGCTTCAGGCTGGGCTGAGGATAAGCATACCCTACCACGCCGGCGCGAGTTTGAATTTGTTTTAGAGCACGCCATCCTTCGCTCGTGCGGAGGGGAGTGATTTGGTTCTCTTCGCCGAAGGTGGTCAGTGGGTGGATTGTGGGCAGGTCGGTGTCACAGTCAATCGTGTGTTGGAGGGTCGACGGTTCGAGGACGAGTCGTGCGAAGTCATGGAAATGGCTCTGGAGAGGCGTCGGCAGCGGGTCGGGAAGGTAGAGGGACAAGACCCTCGAGAAAACTGGATCGTCTGATGATTCGTGCCGTGAAGAAGCCTTTTCCTGGGAAGAAGCCGTGTATTGCTGCGGTACACTGGGAGCGGCTTGGAAGAACCCAGAGGTCGACGATGACGGTTTTCTCGACCCCATCATGCCCCTTTTACGGCGAGTATTGAATAGACGGATGGACAAATATGTGTGAGCAAGTAGTCACCCAAATCAAAATCCGTTCTAGGGATTCCAGAACCGATAGAAGTCCGGCCTTTTTGAACCCAGCAATGGTGGCGTGCTAACCTGTAAGCTCCCTCGGAGTCACCCCTGTGTAGTCTCAAGCCTTGCTGACTGGTGTTGTCAGCGCAAAACAAATTATAAGGCCTGATGACGATGGACCTCTTGAGTATAGTAAAACAGTATAGATCACAGCGTCTCCTTTGTCAGAGAGGTTTTTATGCCCTTTCCAAGACTGCTCCAGAAATTGTCGTCGGGGACCCGGGGGGGGGGGGGGAGAGCAGAGGGAAGAAAGGTGGTAGAAGAACCTCGGCTGAGGGAAACAGTTCTGGATGCACATGGCGAACTGTGGAGTGATAATCCACTAGCAGGTAATCAAAAACTCGCCAAGTTGGTGTCCTTATTCGTGCAGGTAGCTTTTGCTCTTGGTGACTTTATTCTTTCATGGCACGACTTCAAGGTTGCAATTCTATTCTGATCGCAAGGTCAAGGGACAGGAAACTGCACTATGACGCGCCTGTGTTCTGCCGTAAAAGTCTTACTAACTACCCATTACGGTAGAGTACAGAGCCAGACTGAACTGCAAGTCCATCGTCTTTAATCGTCTTCATACCACGTTCACCCCCCTGAACTAGTGAGAACACGTTAATTCGCATGCAGCCTATGAGGCGTTTACCGTCAGCGGTATGTACAGGCTGTGTCGATCATTCCCTCACAGTCTTCGTTCCAAATATGAGAGGAAAACAGAAATGAACCAAGATTCAGCATTCTGGCTCAACCTGCTCCCTGCATCCAGCTTCAGGAGGCATTTCACAGGACAATGCGGAATCTTTGGAAAATTGGCCTACCCAACCGGCGGGTGCAGATCTTTCAGAATCGAGCAGCTTGTCTTGAAGGACATTCCAATCTGAGAAAACAAGGGCGGGGAATACTGCTGGTCGGCATCTACACAACACGCGTTCCACCGTGTGCAAGGGATGCCGTACCCAACAATGAGCTGGAACAATAACCGGTAAGAATTTGTGCCACACACTAGATCCTCGGCCACTCTCTATTCACTTCATGAAGTCGGGCCTTGTTGTCTATCCTAAATCTCGCAGTCCTCGGGTCTTACAATGGCGTTTGCGTCTTGGCCCATGAAAGGCTCTGAAAGAATCTATGCTGCTCTTTTACTTGTGTGCCTCTTTTACATTCTAGTGTCTAGTCCAGTATTGAAGCACGCCGAGTTCATTATCAGGCCTGCCTGGAAGGCCCCTACGACCGGCGACGTTAGCGAATCTTCAGACCTTGCAGTTGACGAGACCGTCCCAGTGGAGGCAGAATCGTTCGTTCCTTTCGGCTATGACATGGAAGGGAAAGCATCTCCTACTTTTAACCTGGGGTTTGGAGAAGAAAAAGTTGATTTGGTATCATCCCCTACATTGGCAGATGTAGATGAATCGAGAATGGCTATGACAGGGCCGTACATCAGTGCGATCATGAACCCAAGGGATACACATTTCGATCGGCTTCAATGCCCACGTCCTCTGAAAAGTCGTTACAAGATGCTCCGGCCGAAAGGGAGTCTCCCTGACAAGACTCAGCAACCACCGAGACGGTACTTTTTTGCTCTCAATCTGTATCAATGTGCTTATGTGCTCCCGCGCCTTCTTGGCTCGGTTGTCGAAGCGATGCGCTTTCTCGGCCCTGAAGACTGCGTCTTATCGATCGTCGGCGGCCGCTCCGATGATGGTACTACCGAGATACTGGTCGCATTAAAGAATGAGGTCGAAGCTTTGAATGCAACCTACTATTTCGGGACGAGCGATATCGACCCCTTGCAAAATGGTAATGACCGAGTTACCGAGCTCGCGAAGCTTCGCAATCTGGCGCTGGGCCCGCTCCTTACTCAACAGGACTCGTATGCAAAAGATACCTCTGTGATTTTCTTGAACGACGTGTCGATCTGCACAGATGACATCTTGGAACTCATTTATCAGAAGCAACATCAGCGGGCGGATATGGTATGTGCCATGGACTGGAACAACCACGGAGCCACATTTTACGACTCTTGGATAGGTCGCAGCATGAATGGTGACTTATTTGTGGAGATTCCTCAGAGTGGATCATTCGAATTCTCCCACAATCTGTTCTGGAATGATCCGAAGGCTCGGTCTCGTATTGATGACAAGTTACCTCTGCAAGTCTTTGCCTGCTGGAACGGAGCCGCGGTTTTCAAGGCCGAGCCTTTACTGTTACATAACATCAGGTTTCGGGCTGCATATAAAGGCGAATGCTATGCGGGGGAACCGACGTTATTCTGCAAAGACCTGTGGACTCTTGGATACAGCCGGATTGCGGTGATCCCTAGCGTCAATGTTGGATACAACGATGAACAATCGCGAGCGGTAAAGGAGAAGCACGGCTACGCCTCGGGAAATATCCAACAGACGGAACACGATCTGGGGCTGTCGACCGGAATCGAATGGAAGAAATCACCTCCTGAGCTCGTCAAGTGTCAACCAGATTGGACTCATTCTTCGTGGGCACCGTGGGATGAAGCGGTAGGAGAACACGTCCCCTTCGACTGGTCTAGGTCCGGATATTTCAACGCCAAAAGGCCTTTTGATAAGGAGCTTGAATTCGAAAATGACGGAAAAGATGAGACTGGGCATTGGGCGGTTGAAACGATGGCTACAGCGTCGCCAAAGTTACAGCGACGGAAGTGAAGGGTAGCATTTGGGAGTCCAACGCGAAGAAATAAAATACCAGTGTTTATTGTCTACATTCCCCATTCTTGGATGTATGTAGAAGGATGAAAACTTGTGATTGTGAAGCACGCAAATCCATGATGGTCTTTCTTCCGACCCGAATCTGGTCAGGGTCACGTTTCGACGAGCAATTTTCGCGGAACGTCACTATCCGCCACTTTACGCGAACCCGCGTTTGCAACCGAGATACCTGCGTACGGACAAGTACGGAGTACTTAAACCTTCCCCACCTGCTAGCACTCTTTCCACGCCCGTTCGTGCGCCCTTCTTGAACCATCGCAATGCCCCTTAATACTCTACGGCTTAATCACCAGAAATCATCCCATCCCAATGACAGAATCGTCTTCATCAAACCCCTTCCACGGCCGTCGTCGGATCAGGCATCCTACGACCTTGCCGATACATTCCTGCGAGCCATCGCCGCACAATGCCTTCCTCTCATGAAGAACCACTATCTCTCTGTCACCACATTAGAAGAATACGAGCCAAACCCAGAATTCATCGGTCGCAATTTCAACAATGGCGAAATCATACAGCTGGTGCTTCAGAGTAAGAGTGGCGGCTGGGTGCCTTTCAACATGGTCCAAATGGTCATGATGCACGAGTTGGCCCATAACACCCATATGAATCACGGGCGAGATTTCTGGAAGACAAGGAATCTCTACGCGGCAGAGATGAAAGGCTTGTGGGAAAGAGGCTATACAGGTGAAGGGTTCTGGGGCAGTGGCCGGATGTTGAGGGACATGGGCACTGTCATGGGTAACAACATTTTACGCAGCGACGAGTTGGAAGGGTTGCCACTTTGCGGAGGGACATATCGAAGTCGCAATAGAAAACGCAAAGCCCGACAAGACAAGCCAGAATTGACCTGGAAGGAGAAGAGAGACCGGCGGATCGAAAAGAAGTTCGGCAAAAATGGCGTGGCGCTCGGCGAGGATGAGAACGCGCGGTTAAGCCTTGAGATCAACCGCAAGGGCCCTGTCGGCAACAAGCCCCGAGTCGCTCAAAGCAAACGAGGCCGGGAATTGAGAGCCGCCGCAGCATTGGCCCGGTTTGAGACCAACAAGAAGGAGGTCGAAGATCTTCAACACGCCGGAGTAGAGAGTACCGAGGAAGTCGAGGACGGTGACAACTACGAAGACGCGGATGCCGACGAAGAAGACGCCAGGGACATCAATGGCCGGAAAATGCTGGACAGCGAAGGCCGTGGGATGATCCGAGTGTGCGACAATGAAGATACAGAAGACGTCGATGTTCAACGCGAGTTACGAGACCTGAGTACACTTGATCGTTATATCAAATCATTTCAACTCAGCAGGGAATATAATGATACCCAGACCAACAGGTTGGACTCTGCGAACAAAACCGCCACACAACTGGAGCTCAAGCCCACTACAACGTCCGCGCCTCTGGGTTCGAAAACTAGCCAGTCCGCCCCAGGCCCCGGCTCAGCAAAAGAACAGTCATTCACCTCAGGCTCAGTCTCATCGTCATCCTTGTCAAGGCCCCCAACAGTACCCTGCCCGATTTGCTCGCTTGAGAATCCTTGCCTCAATGCGACTTGCATGGCTTGTTCTCATGTCTTGGATACGAGAAAAGACCCACGACACTGGTCGTGTCAGAGCGAGGCGTGCAAGGAGAGTCAGAGCGCGTATTTGAACGCTGGAGATACGGTTGTTTGTGGGATTTGTGGGACGAAGAAGGGTGGATGAGTGACTGATATGAGCGAATACATCCAAAATTGGGGGCGGATGGGTTCGCCTCTGGTGTACAGGGAGGGATGTACACAAACAGATGAAAGAAGAACGGGCATCACGGCCGACCAATGTGCTAATAAGTTACGGGAGTGAGCGTTTTCTAAAAGGACGTGTGAGCCGTGAGAAGCTACTTCAGCCTGAACGGAATTTGACCGACCATGCAAGCAGACGAACGAACGAACCAGCGATTATGCTATGCATGTCGAACGATATCTCCCGATCGGTGGATGCCTGACTGCGGGAAATTTTGATCAGTGACGAGAAAGAGTATTGTTCGAGTATGAATGGATGATAGCTCATGATGATATCGAGGGAGAGGAGAGATCAGTCCTGATCTTTACGTAAAGGCTGCAGCAGGGAGGGACAGCGAGACAAGGAGAACAGGAATGTTTCCAGCAGCGACTCGCTATACGAAGATGCGACGACGACGACGACGACGAGAACAATAACAACAACAACAACAACAACGATGGATAGGCGGGATATATAACATCAGGTCCTCCATACCTACTCAATAAGGTATGTGAAATGGCAGCATTAATTGTGTTGGGCTAGAAATCAATTTGTCAGTTTCGACCCTCACGATGTTCCAAGTCGAAAGTCTGTTATTGCTTGGTACGTAATCCACGGGCAGTTTCGGCCTGCCTTCAGCAGTAGCTGCTTGACTCGGCATGTGTACTCCTTTGCACTACCAATCTGCGCCTGAGGCTCATTGTGCGCGCTCTTTGCACCCCGAGTAGATCGCGAGACTGACCTGGGCTTTGCCAGCCTCGCGCGATCGTTCCGGCGTCGGAGATGTCACTCGAATCCCAACGGGCATGGAATAGTCGTTGAGGATCTTTAGCGGTGTAGCTTGCTAGCTGGTACCTCTCCTTCGCCCAAGCACTTTGCACCAGCTGGAATACGGCGAGAGGATTTACGCCCCAGGAACAGGTCTCTATGGACAGGTCTCAAGGGTATTGACGGTGTCACCGAACAAGTCGGCATCATCGCATATCGAGACAGGATGATGCATCGTCATTTGCTGCCGTAAACAAGCTGCTGGTGTGGCCCCGAAGGCCCCTCGTCACGCGAGCTTGGAGATCCTCTCTCATATAGAGGGGACACCAATCATACAGATGGCGCATTGCTACCATCTGTAGTGAGCAAGGGTAGAAATCTGGTGAATGCTTGAGAGCAAAGACGCTCGTTGTCGGAGGGACAAGGGTGCTTGCGAAGATGGATGTGCTCTCCAGCACCTACCTCAATAGATGGGTGGTTCGCACACAGACACCTTCAGATCAGTACCCTGTCGCCGCCAGCGTACAAACCGCTTCATGACCCTTCCAACAATCCAACAGCCCACATATTCTCTCTCCACAACTATACTTACACCTCACTTTGCCCCAGTAGCCGCACACGGAGCAGAACCAACGCTGCGGTTTGGCCATAAGCGCGTTGTTTCCCGTACGCATGGCGAACCCGCCATCGCTGTCGATGTTATCGTCAAGTGGCTTTGCCCGTGCCGCAACGTAACTTAACGGCGGTTCTGAGAGGAGAGCTTGCATGACGCGCTCCGATGGCATTTTGGGGACGCCAAGCGTACGAAGCAGTGGGTGACGGTCGAGAGCTGGGTCATAGGCCGGAGGAGGCAGTTGCCTCGCTGATGGGGACGAAGAAAGTGGTTGTTTGTCCCGGGATGAACTGGGCGATTTATGAAGTGTTGTCGGAGAGGCCGGCTCCGAGGGTTTCGTAGGCGGAGGAGCATCAGACATCTCAACGTCAGCATCATTGGCGCTTTCCGCTCGCACGGTCTTCACAGGCGTGGTTTTGGAACGTTTCAACGAGCTCGAACGTCTCGAAACTCTTCTCTGTGCCGTCGTTGACAGAGTCTCGAGGGCAGCAGCACCCCGCCTCCTGGAATCCGTCGCTGTCTTCTGCGTCTGCTCATGTCTAGCTTGACCTCTCGTACCTATGGCAGGGGGTATAATGGCAGCACTTCCATAGACATTCACCCCAGCCTCCTCGTCCGCAAGATAATGCTGGAAGGTCCTATTGTATGCGAGAATCCGCCTCACGTTTGGGGTGGCCTTCCTCTCTTTCGCCCTTGCGATCTCTCGCTTCGGGATCGGGATATTGGCTTCGCGGTAGTTTTCCTTGTTCAAGTCATTCAAGCGCTGTTGGATAGCCTTTTCTTGCTTCGCCGAAAGTTTATGTGCAGACGCAGGTGCTGTCGTGCCGTCGCGGCCACGTTTGCGGGAGCCCAGTTGCACGGCGGGGACGGGTGCTCCAGTGTCGGGAACGTAGGTCCAGCCATGCGAGGCACGGGCAGTGGTCGTGATTGGTAATTCTTCGATTAAAGGCATATTACTTTGGGGATGAGGGAGCTGTCCGAGTTTGGCGGAGGGGATCAGAGGGATTCAACTCGGGATCGATTTTTGTCTGACGAAAGAATTATTTGTGACTAGGCGCAGCCTGGCAGCGAAGCAGGTAGGGAATGCCTGACTTGGCTCGCTCGCTACTCGGCCGCCGAGGCCGCTTAGTACAATATCCCGTCGTCAGGCAGAGAATATATTCACGCGTGCCACGGGCGCAGAGTTTAATTTGTACTGCATACGCGACTTGCACCCGCAATTGCAACTCCTGGGAGACTTCCCGACTACTAAAAGTTCTACGACGTCCCCAGAGAGCACTACAGAATGCATATGTCGATATGACAATCCTCTCATTCTTCCGCGACCTGTACTCTCTTGACACTCTAGACACACGCTTTACGAATTCCTCCTCCACGCCCCTGAAGTCCCTGAATGAGGGTTCATCCAAGCCGGCAGCAAGAGGTGGAAAAACACAACCTGCAGATGCGCCGCGGCCACGATGGGGGACCGCCGAGTTCTATGTCTATCTAGTGGTCTTCTTGTTTTGCGTCCCGCAGATGTATTGGGCAGTAGTCAGTGTCTCACAACGTAAGAAACTCCGACACCCGCATCGCAACAGAAAGACGGGGGATTTGACAGGAATGAACCATAGCTGATTCCCCGAACTACTCCAAATATGAACATTTGCTCTCGCCAGGTTGGTTGTTTGGGCGGAAAGTGGTACGTCGTCGAGAGAGACCTGCCCCCGTCTGTGTGATCCGAGGGGCTAATGTCCACCACAGGACAATTCTGACGGCCAATATGCTGGATTTCGAGACAACATGCCATATCTGGCGGCTCTGGTTGT